GGTAAAACGATTTCACTAGTAAAGCACGTTCCTAGAGAGTCAACGTCATCTTCCTTGACGTGGAAACGAGTATGACTGCTTGATTATGTAATTAAACGTGATTATGCAGGGTTTCTACTGCGGCAGCAGTACTTCCCTGCAACCTGAGATGTTTCCACGATGGGCATGGTGATGAGGTTTACATGAGTAGATCCCAAGGTGGGATATCAGCATTCAAAAGGAAAAAAAATGACCCAAAAACATGGCTTGGGGAAGTGAAGAATCTGCTGGTATGTCTTGGAGGGAATTTCAGAGGTACACTGCTCAAAAAACAAACAAACAAAAAAAAAAAAAAAAAAAAAAAAAAAAAAAAAAAAAAGGGGGACAGTGGGACCGATTTACGAAATTCAAATTGCTTTCTTCATGTCTCGAAAGCGCGACTTAGGATATATATTAGATTTATATATAGCACTATTCTAACATAGGTATTTTGACACAAAATCGGACTTTTCTGAAATAACATAGCAATTTTTTTTACATATTTCGATTTTACGACTCAAATTATGCATAAATATTAAATTTTGTAAAATTTGGTGCGAAATTTACGGAGAAATTCAACAATATTTATGTTGGGGCTTTTTATTCAGTTTGTGCCAGAATTGGTTCACTTGGCGAACTTCTTAATATGTGGCAACCTATTTTCATTTCCATTTTTACATAGTGCGTGAGAGGAAAAAAAGACTCAATCGTTCCTTATTTCAAATAATATTCTTTCTTATATTTTTAATTATAAATAGTATTAATTTTAAGCAATTTTTTTCTTTTTCGAATTTATTTGAATTGTTTACTTTGCATAGTTTCTTTCGAATAACTGTTTTAAAAATTCCTATTTACTTACTCGAACTGCGTAGTTTAAATCAAAGGCGCATCGTTTATTTATTTTATTTTTTTTTTACAAATAGTTTTTTTATACTATATTTTTAGTCCTAATTACTATTTTAGGTAATTTTTAAATTTTTAGACTTTTATTTTAATTGTTAGTATTGCATTGTCTCTTCAGATAATTATTTTAAAATTTTCAATTTATTCATTCGAACTGAGCATTTTAAATATATTTATTAATATAAATTTTCCAGAATTTGATTTTATTTATTTGAATTGCGTTTCTTTCGGAAGAATACTTTGTAACCCAGACTACGATGCATTTGAAAACTGCATATATTAAAAGAGAAAATACAGTAAAGCACACTTAAGACGCCTTTCAATGTTCTGTTCAAAAAAGATATATATAAATAAGAGAGATGTATAACCGACATTTTAACTTAGGATGACTTGCATACACTGCTTTAAACAGTTTTATCATTGTGCCCATTGCTTTACACAATTTAATCCTACATTTGGTTTCTTAAAATGTTATTCATATTTTAGTCAAATATTTTATTTTTAAAATCGCAAGAATCAAATATCATAAGATTAAAAGGTTTTAAATTTAAAAAAAATACAAATACTAAATTTTACGCCTTGTAGTGTAATACATGCTAGATACGATTCTTCAGGCATTCTGCTTCATTCTTCCTCTTTTTCTTTAGGCATTCTGCACGTATATTAAAAAGCATCCAACTTTTCGAAACATCTTGGTATTTCTGACAATAATTTTAAATAAAGTTATTGCCATCCATTTCATAAAGGCCCAGAAACGGCCGAGCGGTAAATTCGCTGAACACTGGTAGTTGACTCCGTCGTTCGAATCTCAGTAAACGGGTTGGTTGAATGGGCGTTCTCGTAGACTTTCTCATGTGTAACGTGTATGCCAGCTGGCTTCCCTTAGAAATTAATTTCTTCACGAAGGCATCCTTCCTTTTAGGCAGATAGCCCTGCTTTGCCATAATTTAATAATCCAACTCGATCCATTTCATCAGAGACTTATTAGTCTTTAGAGGCTAAGCATTTTGAAGGTATGAGATAAAAGGAAAGACTGGTTTCATCAAGAGGTTTTGGTTTATTTAATTATGATAAAGCACACTAGGGCTAACTGCCTAAGGGAAGGGATGCCTTCGTGGAGGACTTTCTAAGGGAAACTGGTTCCTATACACGTTACACATGGGAAAAACCACGAAAATGCCCATGCAGCCAGTCCGTTCGTGGGATTCGAACCTCAGACCGAACTACCAGTGTTCAGCAACGTTAGCGCTCGGCCGCTGTTTCATCAGGAGGAGAAAAAAAGTCTTTAGGTGACATCCGCATACATCACTGGATAAACTCCTGAATCTTCAAATAATTCCACTGAGAAATCATGGGATTCTCCGTTTATGATACGATATAATGTTCTATAACGTAATTTAAATTTATACAACCATATAGTGTAAAACTAGTCGATCTTCACTTTAATCTGCAATGATATCGTTTTTGTCTTTTCTGTTAACACAAGCTCAATTGATGGTATTTGCTGGTGTACACGCCAAGTGTTTTCTCTTTGAACACCTAAATTCTTTGAAGTATTCTGAAAGTATCTTCAAAAGCGACCAACTTTTGTAAACATCTTGGTATGTCTGACAGCCAAATTTCGCTGCAAAATTTTGCTTACTTTTCTCCCTAATTTTCTTCTTTCCTTCTACAGTTATTTTCAGTGCTCACACAAGAAAATTAAGATTTTCGATTGCTAGACTTCCATAAATTTGCATTCTTGTCAATTTTTTTAAAATATCAATTACATTAATTGCGTTTCAGCTGAAGACAGCTTTTCATTTTCTAGTCATTTTAATTATAATTAAAGTTTAAAGCGAAGTCCAAAGGATAAATATTTTAATTAAAAGATTTTTTGCTAAATGACAAAGAAATAAAACAGTCCAGCAGTGTTTATTCTGTACCACCGAGTGACCCGATTCTTATATCTGCTGAAACAATCTAAATCATATTAAAGATCACGTTTTTTATACAATCTATAACGCGAGAGAAAAATTAGCTTCTTAAAACATTCTTTCTAAGAGGATTAATGCAAAAATTTATATTTAAATATATATTTTTAAAGCTGGGACTTGGACAAAACAGTCAAAATTTTAAAGTTTAATTTACATGGTGGTTATAAGTTAAGTTCCACTTTGAAATGGTCATAAAAGGAAAACTAGATTACCTTTCAATAAATGTTTTCGAGAAAAATTAAATAAGAATTTTTAGTTCTAAAATTTAAGAATTGACTATATAGTAAATTGATTTATCCATATTCAGCCGGGAACATGCAATTTTAAGAGTTACTTCAACAGCGCCAACTACTAAATTTACGGCTGGCAAAGAAAAAAAAGTACTAATCACGAATACATTTGTGATGTTACGCATATAAAAATACAGAACGAGTACTTAAGTAATTTGACTTTTTACTGTATAGAAATGATATAAAACACAGATGCTGCATTTACAAAAATTTCCTACGCTGAAACTGCTTTTATAAATTTTTCTATTTTATTCTGAGCCTGTAATCAAAGTAAGCGTCTAGAATCAATATTCAAATAAAGCAACCATTTTATATTAACAGTAGTGTAATACATGCTAGGTACGAAGCAACGGGAAACAGAAAGAGAGAGAAATTTTTTAAATATTCTTTTGTAACAAGAGAAGATGATATTTTTAAATGGCTCCCTAGGTGAAGTTCGGGAGGACGCCATCAAAGAGCTATATCATAAGTACCATTAGCAGCTTTCTTTTGCGCAAGATGTTTCAGACGCTGAGCCGATGTAAACAAAACAAGGCAAAGAATGAGAAGGCATCATAACCGCAATTGCAGCTGTACACATGAACTCAGATTTGCGGCGACATAAAAGAAGCGGAAGAGCTAGCTGATTGCGAAAAAGCACAATAACGAATATTTTTCATGGAAGCCAACTGTACCCTTTTTCCTCTCCGTCCCCTTTCCCCCATGTCCCCTTTCTCCCCATGCTCTCCTTGAGGACCCTGACTTCCGGCGTCACCCTGAAACGAAAACGGCATCATTTCAATCGGTCGTGTGAAGCAAAAGGAACACGAGAAAGGCTGCATCAAGATTCTCAGTACTAAAATCAGCGAATCTGAGAAATAAAAAGAAATTTGCTTTCGGATAAAAATTACAAACCAACATTCGCTGAAAAAGAAATGACTTGGAGATGTGGCTTTCATTTTTCAAAAACATGCAGTTAATTTAAAAAAAGCCTGACAGTTAAGGCATTTTACTTGAATAAAATTTTTCGTGTTTATTTCAAAAAGTTTGCAGGTAAAGAGCCCTTGTGAGCTTTGTCATAATCCAGTCAAATAAAAATTAGGCAACTATAAATATAAGCAAAACATTTTTAACGTTTTTGTTAAGCGCTTTATGTTGATTTATCCACATTAATTCTTAAGAGATCAAACTATTTCAATAAAGTTTAATAAAATGAAACAAAAATGAATTGTAAATTAAGTAAAGCTTGTAGTAAAAAAATATATTTTTTGAAAATTAGTGTTATACTTATTAATAATATTAAAACAAAACTTTACTAATTTGAAAATATTAAATACACTCGTAAATTTATTAGGACTATCATATAAATATTAGTTACTTTTATACATATCTTCAGTTTAAATGTCATTTTACATATGGATACTTTGATTGATTAAAAAATTAAAATAACATGAACACCGGCTGTTCCTGCAATAAAACGAAAACAAGCTATAAAAATATCATTAAGCTATCCCAAGTACTAAATTTTTACTGCATTAATTGTAAAAATAAAAGTCTTCGGTAAAATTACAATCAATAACTATATTAAAACAAAAATAAGTAAATATATATTACAATACAATTTAATATAAAATGACTTTTGCTCTTAATTGAGTGAAATAACAGTATCAAGTAAGTTTTTCGCATGTTTTTTCTTTTAAAGAAATTTTAAATTTACCATACATTATTCAGAAATGATAATTTCGACTTCTTCGAAATAGCTTTTTCTTGATTTATATGACACTTAGCAATGTGTTTCGTCATGACTTAAAAAAAAAAAAAGTCTTAACACTACCTTTCTCCCCGGAGGTCCTGCTGGCCCAGGAGGTCCGGGAGGCCCAGGAGGTCCTTCTATGAATCCAGTTGGAAAAGCGTTACCGTCCAGAGTCGTTGTCAAGCCACGTTCCCCTTTCTCCCCTTTCTCTCCCTGTTTAAAAAAAAAAAAAAAAAAAAAAAAAAAAAAAAAAAAACATTTAAAAGAGTGCATAACAGCTACCGACAAGAAAAATAGCATATTTTAACGTTCTTCAAGTCCACGAAGATTTAGTAACATAATATATGAAATCTAAATTTTATTACTTTTGGAGTAATGCACAGACTTTTCAAGTGAATGAACATCTTTAATGGTGTTTCATCATTCAAATCTTGAGTTTCTGTTAAAATTTCTCCATACCGTTAAAGAGGTGTACTAATTTATAAAACCTGAGCAGATTAAAATAAAAACTTATGATTGAAAATTAGAATTTTAATACGAATAATGAAGAACTAGTTTTACTCTGCATCCACATGTATTCTCAAGAGGAAAAATCTCTGAAAAAGGAATGACGTATATTTGTGAAGCTGATTTTATATATTTTATTTATGAATTAAAAATTAATTCGACAGATTAAAAGAAAAACAAGGTTTCCTTAAGTAAATATGTGCTTGTTTAATATTATCAGTGTACCCCGTAGTGAATTTTCATAAAAAAAAAATATAAAATTTTAGGCAAGTGATGATAGGTGCACAGAAAAAAATTAAATTCTTATCTGTTAGAAGTTACTTCAGTATTGTAAAAGAAATGTGAAATTTATTTGTGCTTATGTTTTAAATTTGATTCGAATATATTTGCAACCAATTTAATAAATCTGGTCCATTTTATCTTCCCAATAATTCTGACACTTCATTTTGAAAAGTCACACATTATGTTTCAAAAATAGCAATTATTTTCTTCTCGAAGAAAAGGAGAATCGCATTATTCATAAGAGAAAACGCAGTTGGAATAATTTCCTGTGAAAATCCTTGGCATTGATTCAAAACCTAAATTTTTAGCCCCCTAAATGTAAATCGATGCATAGACATCAATCATTAACTGCAGGCACCTTTCTCACATCTATTCCGAAAGAAAGGATTTTTAAGGTTTTTCAAGGTAAAATATTATAAGTTAAATCCTTGAAGTTACTTTCGCAGTTGCACCTCTGAATGAAATTTCGTAAAACCTATCAACAAAAGAGTTTATTCTTTGATAAGGGTACTGTTTAAAATTTAAAGTTTTTACTCTTTATTTTAAGAATTAAATTTCTGTTGCCTTTTCAAAATGCTTTTTTCATATTTTAAATAGAAAACTATTAATATCAGTCTAAAACCTCAGCCATTACGAGTGGCATTAACACATTTAATTGATATTTTCACTTATAAATTATGATATACAAAAATAAAAATTCCAAATTTCCTTTTTTATTTGAGCCAAGCAGCAGCCGAATAGATAAGGCCGTTAAACATAGCAGTTCAGTGTGGAATCTACATCTTAACGAATTAGTTGGTTTCTTAAGTTTTGTGATTTTTCTCTCACATATAACGTTAATGCGAGCCAGTTTCTCTTAAAACTCCTCCAAGACATTATACCTCCCCTTAAGACATTATACCCCCCGTGAAATAAAAGAAGAAAATTAATTCAGAGAGATACGAATATCAACACATATTTATAAATTTGAATAAAAAACTCAGAAAAACTTACAGTCGCTCCCGGAATACCATTCGTTCCATTTTTTCCTGGATTACCCTAAAATAGCAGCAATTAATGAAAAGACAAGAGAGAAAATACGCATTTTTCTGAGTACAATTGTACAAATATCCGCCATGCAGAGATAGAAGGATGCAACATTCGTGCACAAAAATACACATCAAAAACGAAAAGTAAATAAAAAGTAATAGTAGAGGAAAATAAAGGAAATGTGAAGAGAAACACATGATTTAGAGACATCCTGATTATTTAAACTGTGTAATTTAAATAATTATTCTGTTTAAGGACAATATTAATTGGAATTTTATTCAAATACAAAATTGCTACCGAATCAGGTTTGCTGATATTAATTAGATAAATATGAGGTGAATACTAAGAACTTTTGTATTGTATTCAGCAACATACCTAACATTCAGTAAAATTGTATAAAATCATGATGGAATAAAGTATTTAAGTATGATATAACGCAATTTCTTTAAATTCTAGTTTTTAATGAAATTTCTCAACTTGAGGAAATGAAAATATATTTGTATAATTCCCACTTTATTCGATTTCGAGTTTATGAGCTGTTCTCCTTCTAAAAATAAACATTTAAATTGATATTTGAGACTAAAACTTGATATATTTTAATCATGTGATTACGGAGCTGAATTCAACTTTATTATTCCGGCTTAAGAATTTAATCACTTCATACAGTTTCAGATACTCTTAGTTTAACGTACTTTACATACCTTCAGTATGTTGATAACAGACAAAACGAAGTGTCTCAAAAAATCATCTGATTAACAGTCTACTAATCTCTTAAAGAAAGAAAACATATGCAAGATATTCGAAAGGCAATTTTCTGAAAGTATCTTCAAGCGATTGTGCAAGCATGGACTTAAATTACTAATTTCTCAGAAAAATACCTGATTGCGCAAATAAACATGAAAACAGCAGCATAGGAAAACACTTTTAAGGCGAAAATTTCAAATCAAGAATGTTTCATACATGTTGTCAGCGATTATTCTATTGAAAAAAAGCACTTTTGTGAGGAAAAGAATACGGCAAGTGAAGAATTTACTTGATTTTTAACTGCCAGAGATTATTGTATTTAAAAGCGTTTTTAATTGCAATACTATATATGAAAATAAATTCAATGAAATGATGGATACATTAAATATACACAGATGGCAATGATTCAATGCTACACAGCCCAAATTCTCAGAAATTATCAGCTTACTTAAAAGCTATACAATGAGAAAAAAAATGAAACTCAAAATACTCTGCATTTTAATGAATATTCATGTTTCGACAAGGTCACAGGCAAAGGATCAAAGCACAAAATTCAAAAATCCTAATTAAAGGCATAGGGGTGTCGCATTCCCACACTGAGGAGAAATAGGCGAATATCTATGCACTAGCTGTACAAAGCACTGAAACAGAGCACAGGAAGAGTTTACATCAAAGCCCATACGCACTTGCTTACAGAAAGCTGGACATGGTATAGATAACTAAATTTTTGCAAGCAGAATACAAATTTCAATAAATGGATCTGTCATTGGAGAATTTGCTGCTGTTCGAGAAAGGTGATGAGGAGTTCTACAGAACGGTAACCTTAAAGGATTACGGCATACTAGAATGCAGTAATCCATCGCACAGTTTCACTTTGAACTAGTAATCCCGTGCTTCAGCTTCTAGTAGAATCACTCATGCAAAGTTTTCACAAAGTAAGCATTAGCTCCAGAAAAGTGATACTTGCCCTGTTTATTAATAGCTGCTGCATTAGCTACCACACGATGCAACACTGACTGCGGAACGATGCTATGAAATGTACTAAAAGTCGAGTAAAGTGATAAATTCGAATAACGAAAGACGCTGTTTTCTCAAAAGATAATGCAATGCCGCATACTTCAGACATAACATGCATTATACTTGGCAAACTGAATTAAGATATCATGCTGTATCCGCGATAAAGTCCAGAAATGTCGTTTATGATATTACTATATATTTGCCGTTTTGACCTTCTGAAATAGCAGCGAAAGACGCTACTGCACAAAAGAGTTCAAAGGGAGATTCATAGTTAGTTGTTTCACACAGAAATTCTTACCATCATTTCATAACATTATTCTTTCACTTGTTTTATGGTGAAAAGTCTGCCTAAATGCTCATGGCAACTATTTTTACAGTTTTAGTTTATCCAAGTAAGTTACACTTTCATTTCCACTTCAGTAAAATTAATCTAATTTCTTTATTCACATTAAATTTGCACAGAATTCTAAATGTTGCAGAGCGATAATGGAATACAAATTCTACTTCGGAACAAAAAGTTCTACCAGATTTTCCTTGCAAAAGTTCAGTTTTAGTTTACTGGAATTAACATAACATAATTATAAAAGGAAACTGGAAAAAAAATAAGACAAGCAGAAAGAAATTAATTTGGGGGGAGACAAAAAGACGATATTCAACACATGACAGTTCACATTCAACTAGAAAATGACGAAATAAATAAAAATAGCAAACCATAAAAAAAGAGTTGGAACAAAACAAAACTGAAACAATACGGAGACAAGCTGTCTCACTTTGTTTCCTTTGAGACCTGGGGGCCCAGGTAATCCAGGGGGCCCCTGATCCCCATGTCGACCAGGAAGACCGGGGGATCCCATAAATCCCCGATCACCCTTGTCTCCCTGAAATAGAAATGATGCAAACGGGTAGAAAAGGCTACAAAGTAATTTCTGTTGTGACTTAAAAGACATAGCAATGATTATCCTTAAATTGATTTCTCTGCAATAAAATATTGATCGATGTAAAACATCGAAAACTCTCTTTAAAAACAAAATTTTGTATCAGTATGCTGATTAGACACTTATGAAAAACAGCCAAAATAAAACACATACATACATACTTATTCTGTTTTTTCTCTCTATTCTGAAAAAAGTATTGCTTCGTACAGCGCAATGATTTAGCAACAAAGTATTTAAATAAAAATTAAAAATAATTTAGAATAATGCGCTAGCATTTTTTCATTTTTAAAATATTGTAAAAAATGGAAATTTAACAACAAAAGCTCTATATAATAAACAATTCAGAAAATACACGAGAGATTTTCCATTTTTCAAAATATTATTAAAAATGAAAATGTGCGTTAAAATAATTCAGAGTAATACAATAGCGTTGTGTTATTTTCCCAAATTGTTAAAAATGAAAATTTAAATGCCAAGACATTTCGTCTTTCAACGTGAGTGCAAATGACTAAGTTTGTTACAAATACAGTCTATTACAGACATTGAAATATATTTGCTAACGAGAATATATATATGTATATTTTTATAAGCATCCTGAACATTAGATATTTAGCAAAATTGCAATTTATGTCAGTATACCTTTGGTCCTGAAATGCCATCTTTTCCGGTAGGTCCCTGAAAATAGTAATTAATAAACTTAGTAATAGTTTAATAAAATTATGCAGAAAAAGTCATTCACAAGAAAATAGTGCGAAAACTACTGTTTTCAATCATTAGTTCCAAATGATTATCTCAACAATGCGGTAAAAAAGATAAAGCGGTTATTAAAAGTGTTAACACGAGAAATTAAAAGCAAAATTAATTACTTAAAACTATTTACTTACCACAGGACCTGGCGAACCTGGTGCTCCTGGTTCTCCAGGCGGACCCTGAAATTAATCAATTATGTAATGGAATTCATGGCTCTTATATAGAACTTTAAAAGAAACTATATAAGTGCAAAGGAATAATCATTGTTATTGCAGTAGGTCGTATGTGACAGAAAAGCAACGTTTTACAAGACGTTAAATATAATTTTTTTATATTGAATAATACCTTAAAGAGACATTAGGTTTTTTGAAGCAGGAGAGATGAAAAGTGAGCAACGCCTTCGCCGGGACTCGAACAAGGCATGTATCCCGCATGTATTCACTGGGATTTAAATCAAGGGAGCACGCTGATAAATCCATTCGGTGGATACCTTCCCTTTCCAGGAGCACGAGTCCTGAGTGGCTTTACACTGTCATCCATAAAAACAAAACCGGAACATATGGCACCCCAGAACAGATGCACTTTGGGAGACAATAATGTCACCACAGTAACGATCTTTGGTAACTGAACCTCTGTCGAAAATGTGGAGCGCTGTCCATCCGTTCATCATAATGCAGCCCCATACAAGCATTTTAGAGCTCCCCCCAACGATGCCTTTCCCTTTTCTTAGTGGAATGAAAGCGGGCCTTACCTCACTCCATATGAACTGGCACAAAGAATGGTTTGTCAGACTGAAACGATTCTAATCTAAGAGGACGCGATTCCATTGATGAGGTATCCAGTCTTTGTGTTCACTACACTACTGTAATCAATGGTACTGTGTTCACTACACTACTGTAATCAATGGCATGCGGCGCTCAGGACGATGGACCAACAGGCCATCCTTATGAAGTCGTCTGGCGACACAAGAGTATAGGCCATACAATATACAAGAGTAAACGGGACGACTGTTGTCCGGTTACCCGGCGCAACTGCTGAGCAGTGTTGCCCACTGTCTGATTTCGATCTCTTTTCGCGTGCACGCCGATATATCAGTCATCAGACTCTTTATTTCCTTGGCTGACCACCATCAACCTTTTATACAGCTGTAAAATACTAATCCACAATACAAATATATATACATTATTTTATCAAGTGCAAGATATTTCAAAAAGGAGTTTTTCTTAATTTACATAAATCATATATTAACATTCATTTTACATTTTTCAAGAATGCTTAAATTCTATTTTACGCAACACAGTTTTTTACAACAAACACAGTCCATTTAAACGTGTTTCATAAGTACTATTTCGTAAATAATGTTTTAAATATTTTAGCATAAAAAACGATCTTTCCGCCAGTATGCATGGTAACTGGTAATATCATTACGATTTTCAAAAGAGGCTTTTTACACGTTTTTCGTCTTGATGTAAGTTTCTTTGACAACATGTAAAATACCAATCTTACAGTACCACGAATCAGAAAAAATGCATTTTTAAAAGTATTTCGAGTTTTCCTTCATGTTCAGATTGGAGAAGGATTGTATTCTTTTATGGAATGAAAATATTTAAATAATTTAACAGTTCTTTATGTTTAATAAAACGTTCTTTAAGAGAGGATCGCCTTGGATCACACCAACAAAAATAATTAAAAATTAATATTCGAAAATCGGATTCGATAGATTCTGTTGTAATATTAAAGCAACATATTTATTTGCTTGCCAGTCACTGAAGAAAAATTAAAAATTCTTCTTCATTTATTTGTCTTGGAACAGTAGCCGACTCTAAATACTACATTGCATACATTGTAAGGCATTTTTTCCTTCCCTTCAGCGTACTTTCGATGCATATTTGGAAGATCGTCAGGCTAGCAATAGAGAGGTCCGAATTTTGAGTCCCGGTAAAAGCGCTGCTCATTTTCTCCAGTTTCTTAATTGCACAGTATTCTAATGGTCCTTACAACTCTTTCTGCGCTGTCACAAATTTCTAATAGTTCTCTGAAAAAATCTTTATATAATTGATTTGCTGTAGTGAGGTCTATCCATTTCAACCGTAAGACCCTGCTTAATGACAACATAAATGAAAATATGAAATTACAAAGCAGAATATTTCATTGAACTCAAGAACATAATCCAGAAGATGATTCCCTATCATGCCGATTCTCTGTAATTTCTAATACTTGAAATAAAGGTTATAAATGTTTTAGTAATTTCGTCAAGATGGCCACAAATTTGATATACTTTCTTCCAAAAACAGAATTTCGTTTCGGAGTGTTTATAAAAGAATAATATTTTTTTATCACTCCAATGCTGTTATGAATAGTTTTAATGCAACGTGCATCAGAAATTGCCAAAATTTGGAAATGAGAAGCACATGCAATGTTGAAAGAAATATTTCTCTCACTTTAGCTGGCACATCCTTTAATATCCCGAACAGTGGCTGCGGCACCACTACAGCCTCATGTATTTTAAATCCAAGTCTAATGATGTCAAATTATTAATAACGGTATTAACCAAATGTTCTGCGAGTGTCGACATTACAGGTATGTTGAGTCATTAGGCTATTCTGAAGTAGGGGACATGAAAAATGAAAAATCCCCTCGCTGGGACTCGAACCTGGATCTCTCGAATACGCGCAGAGTGTGCTATCGTTACACCATGAAGGCATGTCAGAAGAAGAAAGAAAATTGGGTATAAATTGTAAATACAATTTTATTAGAAACCTTTCCCTTTCGAGTTTTCCCACTATATGTCGGTTCCTATATGTCACACAAATAGATATTTGCTCTTGTGAAGAAATGCCTACAGTTTCATCAAGATATAACTGAAAAGCATTTGATTGCTTTCATTTTATAAACGATCTTTTTCAAAATAAATTCATGTATTCATGTAAAATAACGCTCGCATTCATGTGTTCATGTTGGCCAAAGTTTCCTTCATCCTGACAAGATTCTATACTATCATCATTCACATTCTTTCACCTAGAATCGCGACGATTTCTTCATGAAAACAAATTTCTCACACAGAAGATTGTAGCTTATATAGGATTCAGCTTATTTTGATTTTCTTTAGCTTTATGAGCACTGACGATATCAGTTATATCAGCTATAGATTTCTTGTGGCCAAGAATACCAATAAAGTAGCAGAAGTATATTTTTAAACTATCAGAAGATACGAAGAAATGCTTATGATAAAAACACTTATTGACCCAAACCTTGATTGTTTGACTGACCTGTTTATCACTTGGCGATTGTTTCGCAACATTTGCAATACACTTCATATTTAATTTTAAAATGAGCCAGCCAAGGGTATTCAAATAACAATGTATATATGATTTTTCTGTTGGCCCTTCAGTTGCCAAATGAAGAACTTAGAAACAGGTACTTTGTTGTTGGAACCCAAGTATTTCGAGAAAATCAGTTTTTCTTTGCAAGTTAATTTTAATTTTAATAACAATTTTTATTTTGGAGAGGGATTTAAATTTCAGCTAAAACGTTCGTACAGGTAACTGAATTAGAACCAAAAGCACTTGTAAGTATAACTTTGGCAATAAATTTCACTTTTATTTTCGTTTTCTGTTGAGTCGTAGAGTAACAATTTTTTAAATAACTTAAGAAGTAGTGTTTTCTCTTTCTATAAATGTTTTGAAATTGCTGGATCGACCTAGGTTTCACGAATATGTCGCTTTATTTATTATTTTAATAGAATAAAATTTGCGTGCTAAAAACAATAACACCTTTTAGGTTTTAAAAAAGTATAATTTAGCAAATTAGAAAAGGGCCTGGGTAAAAAATCGATTTCCAGAAGATCACTCCATTTAATATTCTTATGCTATCAAGATTGCGGATGAATTAGCTTTCCATTTCGGACATAGTTAGTCTCGTTAACATCAAGGTAACCTTGGAAGTGCATGAAACTTTTAGTCAAATTATCACAACATCGAGATATTATATTAACTACCAGAATATTTATGCACAACAGCATTACAATTAAATTTTGTAAGAATTAATTTTCTCATAAAACATTTTGTACAAAAAATAAGCGAGACATATTAGCACTCACGGGTTCTCCAGGTAATCCCACTCGTCCATCGAATCCAGGTAAACCTGTAGGTCCGGGAGGCCCCGGAGGACCGGGAGGTCCAGGACTTCCGGGCTCCCCCTGCAATCCAGCGGAGACGTTCCATTAAAATATAGACAATTATATAATAACAGTACGTTTAATCATGTAATAAGTGTTTTGTTGTTAATAACTATGATAATATAACATAGCTTATGTATTTCAGTACAAAAGACAGTATTGTAAAAAACAAAACAACAGTAACATAATCTATCATAACATAGTCTACGTTGTTATATGCTGCAGTTTTTAGAAACAATAATAAAGCTCAGCTTCATAAAAAGAGGGCTCAAATTTAGGTATAATTTAAAAAAATATTATGAACTCATACATGGCAGTTTTTCAAATGGCGCTTGCCATTTCTTTGTCATTCTTCTAAAATAAACTTAACTTTTTCAGCTGCTACGTTTATCATATCAGCGTAGTGATATTAATTAAAAGGATAGCTGTTTACTTGCAATAGATATCTTACGTAGAGCACAAGCTTGCTATTTATCTGGATGTTCACCTTTAATACAGATCTTAAATACATTTCTAAGATATCTAACTATCACTACCAACTGCAACAATAAAAAGGATGTTTAGTAAACCATGGAAATATTTAAAACAATAAAATAAACTTTATTAGCAAAACATGAGTCAAAGAATTTCACTTAAAGATGACAAAAATCTAACTATCTTTAAAACTATTAAAAGTATTTTCTCTTTCTTTCTCACATACATTCGTGAACATGACCGATTAGATGAGGAATTTACAGCCATAGGAGAAATTTGCTCGAGTTTTAATTTCAGGCAAAAAATACAAAGAACTACGAAGGAGTACAGCATTCCCGAGTACTGGAGGTTCAAATTAGGACGAACATTTTCAGAAAATATTTGCATTTTATTAACTGAATGAATTATTTAGGAGCGGACATAATACTGACTTGTTTAGGGATTGTAAATTATATAATTTATGTATTAATGGATATAAAATTTTATACTTTAAAACCTCGTTAAATATTTATTTAGGAAATTATATTTTTATAACTAAATAGTATTATTTAAATGTAAAATTATTATATTTTAACTTATCTTTACATTTCTGTAATTTCACATTTCCCATGTTTTCGATTTTACTATATTTTAAATTTATATTTAATACTAAATGCAATTTCCCAAGCATCATCTTTAATAACTAATTTTAAGCAATAAGTTTCAATTTTTTAATATATACCATACTTTTACACAGTTTATAATTTTTACAAATTTTATTAATTCTTTCTAGAACTAGAGAAATTCAGTTCAAATTTTTAATAAAAATTTTAGTAAATATCAAAATTTAAAATCTGCATCTTCATTTTTTATAATCAAATGCCTTTTAATAAATATTAAATAGAAACTTATATTTGATATTTAACTATTTCAGTAGAAAATTTTCTAATTGCGGAAATTTTACAAAAAATATATTAAGAGTACTCACTTTGAGTAGTAGTAAATCACCAGGTGAAACTGTAACACCTACGCTAGCAAGACCCTAAATTATGTAAGGAAAAAAAAAAAAAAAAAAAAAAACACCAACACAAGTGCAGTGGGTTAGTAGGGAGTGCAAAATCATGCAAGGCCTACATGCAATTTGGCCAACTTAAAAAAAGAAACAAAATTAAAGCAAGACATCTTTTAAGAAATTTCAAATGCTTGATACTTTAACTATTTTTGAAAAGTGTTATTAACATAATAGATTCATTTAAGCTAGTCAATTTGATCATTCACTCATAACAAAATAAAAGGGTTTGCGTATACCAAATTTCAAATTCTAAGAACGCGTTAACTGAAAAATATTTCGGTATTAAAACATTTACAGAGAAAGTAGGAAATTTTTAATACAAAAATAAACAATATTTCATAAAACTAAATTTTTGGATTTAAAGTATTTTTTCTTTTGTTATTTTCACGAACTAAAATTTTGTGAATTCTGCAAATAAATTAATTCTTATAAACATTCATTTATAAAAAATTAACGATTAAATATTTTTATACAAATGCTACATTTTAAGCCAGAAATTTTTCGAATACATTTACGGCGAGAACAGAATTTTTCGAATGCGATGAACATGTTACATAATTAATACAAGAATTTCCGGATTAATACAGATTTATGCTTTGCGATACAAATTAAAGTTTTCTGACAGGAAAATACATTATTTGCCTCTTTAGTTTATTATCCTTACAATTTATTATTTTAAGCAGTAATAATGTATATGAAAGTTCTATAAAAAGAAAATAATTACTTAGACTACACAGAGTGGCAATTTAATAATGCGACAGTGCATTTTTAAAAATTCTTATAAAACATATGGGTCAAAATAAGTGAATTTTCAAAAATTCTTTATCGCCTGGTGGAGAAATTATTTTGAATGCTGTATTTTACGTACATCATTCGGTTCAGAAGCGTTGTTCCAAACGTCCTTGTACTGCACAGTAAGCAAATCACACAGTCCTTGTACTGCACAGATGTCTGTCACTAAGCATGCAGTAATTTCTGACCTTAAAAAGTGTATTATTCGTGTATTCAACCATCCACCCCATCCACCTTATTTTAAAGAAATTTTTATGTCATACTAAAAACTAGTGCCATACCAATATCCACAAAACTTTATCGGATGTCTGCCAGATAAACCGAGGTTTTAAAAACTGAAGTAGGCAGTCAGAATGATAAAACTGAAAGTAATAGAACTATCATACTAGTTGCAATTCTTGAAAAAGAGGCAAGACCATGTATTTATCGTCGCTTAAACAAGGCAACTAGAACCCAATATTTTTCCTTCCCAAACATTGAACAGTTAGCAGAAAACGTGTAATCTTCGAGATGTATAACTCTTTTAGATCATGGTTCATACTCGAGGTTACTGGTAGATTCAACTAGATAAAAAAGCCCAATGTTATGCTGCTTTTGTGACAAATTTTGGCACCTGCAAACCCTTAAGGTTACCTATATGCGCTATATGATTTGGCTGTTCGATGGCAGGACTATTCAGAAACTGTGAGAAATATGCTGTACCATTTATTGACGATGATGGGGTTTTTCTTGCAAACCTAGGAGTGAAATACCAAAAATTATCTTTGAAATGAAAGTCGCTAAACTGCATATTAAGCCTTCAAAATGTTAGTTTGTTCAAACGACCATGAAATATCTAAGTCATGTAGTAGTGCAAAGTCAAAGGGAAGGGTGAAGCAAAAATCCAAGCCATAAAGAACTTCACCGACATCTAATACACAGGTCAAATCAAATTTAGGACTTAATGGTCTTTCATGGAAAGTATATTTCCGAATTTTCTGTAATTGCTGCGCTGTTGACAGACCTGCTAAAAGAAAAGTGTGGCAAATCAAACATATAAATTCGACTGCTAATTGCCAAAATGCATTTGATAAACTCAAACGATTCTCAGAAAATCCAGTTTGGACCTCGGAATTGATTTACACTGATCACAATGATAATAGGGTTGGATAAAAACACCGGAACGAATCCTAGATTATTAAAATGGGCTTTGATTTTACAACCTTTTAATTGTGTATAGCTAGGGGAAACCATCAAAATGTTGATAAGTCATTGTACCCAGACATCTCACAACTAAAAATATATAGACTAAAAAGTTTAAAACTTCATTGTTTAAAATTTTTCTAACATCAAAATACTAAATTGTGTGTTTAATTTAAATGTTTGCTTTAAAAGCACTTAGACTGATTTAATGTGGTATCTAACCGAATTTTTTACGTTTGAACATTTTTTGTGTCTTGAACAGTTTTTATATTTGAACCGAAACTTTTGTCTCGAAAAGTAAACAGAACTCAAAGAAAAACTTTGAAAAATTCCACGTGAAAGGAAGGACTTTAAGACTGTAACGTTTCTACATTCCTAAGCTACCGAATAAATACCCAGCGAGAAATGTAAACATCCTCGCAGCTTAAAAGATACAGACTTGAGGATGCTTTAAAGATCTTCGCGTTGGAATTTTTTTTTGGTAAGTTTAAAAAATAAAAACTTTGATGTTGGACCAAAATGGCGAAATTTTTTTAAACACTACAAAAGTCTCAGTATTTAATTGCCATGCTGTGTAATTCTAAACAGGTCAGGAATATTAGAAGAAAATACAAAATAAATAAAAAAAAATTAATCTATTTAAATTAAAACAAATAATTAGAATAAAAAAATTAAAGCATGAAAAATGTACTGAAATTTCCAATTTTTTAAATTTGCATATGCATTTAATTATTTGTTTCAGGTACTTTGTCTATTTTAATAAATAACCTAAACTCATTAATAATGTTCAGATTTATTAAATGATAAAATTAATACTCAATGCGAATTTTGCTTTATTCTAAACTACGGAATCGTTTTTGATTACCAGTAATTTACCATACTCTAAGGAATTTTAATGTTGCCAAATTATTAAAAGAATTTCCGCAATCCAAATCTCAAAAGACATAGAAAATATTAATATTCTAAATTTTAACCCTAAACAACGCGATTTCATCCTTTTACACAGAAATTCTTGAGAGATGTCTTCAAAACACATAAATCAATATACGAAACAACATAAAATTAAAAACTAGCAAAACAACTCGAAATGCTAGCAACGTAAATCATAACGATTCACAATGGATGGAATGAGTGGATGAGTGAGCAACGTGGAGCAGAATAGAACATGCAAGGGGGGATTCAATGCTAATGAGGGGGTTAGTCATCGTCGGGAGCAACTGACCTTAATGGCTATAACCTCAGCGTAACCAATGGTCCCACCGTGCAGCCTCGTTATGGATCTTTTTCCACCCTGCAAATGGCACGAGCATGAATAATCAGAGTACTCTTCTTCAATGTGAAGGGCACAATTATGCAATGCACAGCGCCAATGAACAACATAATAGAGTTAGCTCATGCGTACTGACAATCTGTCTATTATTTCACACAAGTATGGAGCATTCAAGAAAAGATAGAGCAGTAATTGTGAAACAGTAATTTTTTTAAAGCTTTCCAGTTTATATAACTGGTCACATTTAAATAATGAAAGCTACTTAATTTGCCACAAATTATATCCATACATAGAATTGCAATTTTCTTAAATGGACGATACATTCTGGATAGTTAGAAACTATTAGCATAGGAATGAATATTCAAATTAGAAAGAGGAAAATTCCTTTTCTGTTCTTTATTGCAAATTTATAGCATAATTACTTAACACAGTGGTCTCAAACTCAAATAGCATGCGAAATAAATGAATGTTCTAAAAGCAGTTGATGGGCAGATTTTTTTTCAAAATGGGAGAAAAAAACTAAATCTTCAATTTTGTTTACTAAATATTTATCAAAACCAAAATAACCACTAATAACAATGAATCAAAGGAAAAATTCCAAATTATATTAATTTTTAGTCTCAAATCTAAAAATATGTGCTAGAAATACCCATTAGTTACACTTTGTAATTCAAAAGTATTGATAGCTAAATACTAAATTTTCAGGTTAACATTTATTTCAGATAATTCTAATATCTAGAATTAACCGCTAAATGCTTAAACTAAATTACGTAACTTACTGCTTAAACTAAAATTTACTTAAACTACCTAAATTACTTAAACTAAAAATAAGCAATTTATGCAAACTTTGCAAGGGGAGCAAAAGTTCAGAATAAATGATAACAATCTATTACATTTCTTTTATTTATTACTTTTTTATATATACGGAAAAAATATATATATATTTGTATGTAAATAATTATAAATTTCTCTATTTCTTGTTATAGCATTTCATGGCGTCACGAAGTCTAAGTCTGAAACGGATGGAAATTATCTAAAATTCGACTCAAATCATCTATAGATTCTTGCTTTAATAATTAATTTCATAATAATGTTAATTAATTTACAAGGAATCTATTTTCACGCCCCGTGAAACTGCCCCGTGGGCTACTAGTTTGAGACCACTGACTTAGCATAGGTCAAATATAATGAGTTACACAAGATAGAAAATAAAAAGTAAAAGCGTGGTTAAAATTACACAAAATTTGGGTAATCATGTAATATGCGATCTGCCGCTTTTAGTTGATTATTTTTTAGAAAGGTCACTAAAATTTCTTTCTGCTTTAATCATTTCTTTTCCCCGCTATTATTTCGCAAGTTTTAGCCCACCAGCGGCCGAGCGGTAAAGTCGCTGAACACTGGTAGTTCGGTCCGAAGTCCGAATCATGGCGAGTGGGTAGATTGTATGGACATTATCGCGGCTTTTGCCATCTGTTACATGTGTACGAGCAAGTCCTCCCCGGTGTTATTCTTCGCCTTACGCAGATAGCCCTCAGGCAGACAGCCCTTGAGTGATTTGTCATAATCAAATAAGCCAAGCCTGAACCATTTATGGCAAGTTCGAATTTAAAAATAGCCTTCTAGTGTTCTGTGTATAGCCAATTGTGAAATAAATATCTAATCAAAAAAGCGGTAGATCGCATACTAAATGATTACCAAAAATTCTTACAAACGATTGATTAATTAATAGTAGTAAAAGAATTAATGATTCAAAGTTATTTCAAATATGCATCCTCAATGAACACATACTCTGATTTGCTACTCTATCTTGTCATTTACATTACAAATTTTTTCTCGTAACAAAATTACGTAGCTCATTTGATGCATGAAACATTTCAAGCGGCACTTTTCCCTGACTTTCCAAACCAGTATTTCTCAACTAACATTTCAGTGAACTCTAAGCTTATATAAGAAGTCACTAGGGGTTTTATGAGAAATAACAGGGCGAGGAAAACGATTAATTCACTCGAATTTTGCTTATTACGTGCTCTGCCCTTAGGCACTACACGGAAAGACAGGAATGTCCCGTGGAGGTCTTTTTAAGGGAAACTGGCTCGTATCCACGTTACACATGGGGAAAACCCCGAAACGCCCATACAGCCAGCCCGTTCCCCAAGACTCGAACCCCGGACCGAACTACCAGTGTTCAGCGGCTTTTACCGCTCGGCCGCTGGTCGGCCATTCATTCGAATTTAGCTGTAGAAAACTAAGCAATATTTTCGGTTAAGCAAGTTAACAGAAACTTTTTTGTTCTTTAAATAAATAAAGTATAAAATAGATTTCAAGGAAGATAAGTTAAAGATAAGTTTGCCGTTTCTATTTGAAGCTTAGTTAAGCTTTTTCGAGTAAGGTTAGCTGAGGAGATGTTTTCATATTTGAACTGTACAGTAATTTTCTTACACGCTTCATACTCACTCCCATTGAAAATAACAGAAGCTTTTGATAAAAACTAAATCTGATTGAGCAATAGATATATAAGCAATATGAACAATAGATATATATATATAAAACTTGTTCAGAAAATTACTAAAAGCAAATTAAAATTTCTTCTGTTTCCATTATGGCGAATTTTAGAAGCGTTACTATTTCCTATGAAACTGAGGGATGTTTGAGAACGTAAGTATTTATTAGATAAAATAAGCGAATCTAAAGTAAAACGTCGTTTCCCTAAAGAAAAATGAATTGCAATATTACATCTGAAACGAAACTAATTTTTTTATAATATTACGGAATTTAGTTCCAATAGTTTATATATAAGCACTTCCTGATAGCTGAAAAATTACTCTTTTTTATAATATAATATTCTTGAAAAATATTTAAGAAGGGATATTCTGAGAGTAGAATAACATAAAATTAACATCCGGGTTTCGTTAAGTTTCTAAATGATCATCGTCATCTTGTTATTTTTCTTTATAGTTTTTCCTCTTAATAAAAACAATATAACTTCTAAATTAATTGACTAAGCACACAATGGACGTCTTATTAACTAAAACTTTACACTTATTTTGCTGAAAATTCAAAAATCCAATATAATCAAGCTCTTTCAGCAAGGAATTTGAGCAGAATAAAATTATGATTGTATGTGCATTAAAACCACTAATGTAAAATATTACTCAACTGCCTTAAGCGTTCCATTGTGAGTTAGTATTTCTCAGTTATTTACAATATTCAGAAAAATTCATATCGCTATATTTGTTTCTATTATTTCAGGCATATCAAAATATAAAGCAGATTTGCATGTATAATATTTGAGTTTCCTTAGACGAGTTGTATTATATGCCATTAATATATTTTTAATCAGCCAATGCAAATAAAAAATATTACTTTTCTTTTCTTAAAACAAACATTAAAAGAAGCACAAATTATAAAACATAACACAAAATTCACTTCATGATATATTTTTTTTCTCTCTTGATATAATCGAATTTTTTCTATCGTATAGAATTAAAATCGTTATTAATATTTCGAAAACCATCATCTAATTGAAATTCGAAGTATTTCATGAACTGCATCTAAGTAATAAATAAGCTTTCTTTTACATTTATACAACTGAAGCAGAAGAACATGAAAATCTTCAAAGGATGCTTTGAAGTCATATTTATATAAAATGAGTCTTTTTTTTTTTTTTTTGCAGCAGTTCTGTTCATATATATCATTCTTTGAATTCTCCAGCTATTTTGAAGAATTTTATTTAAAACACTTTTGTCTCCATTTCGAGTACTTTGCGCCCTCTGGTGCTGATGATATGTAAATTCATGACTAAATTTTTAAAACTTCTATGGTTCGGGAAGCTAATGCACTTCGGTATTACTTAATTTCAAACTAGATAATTCACAGTCAACTTGAAAAAAAAATGCAAAGCTCAACTGAAGATATCTTTTCTATTAAAAGTAATTGTAAAAGGAATTGACGTTCAAAGAAAAGAAAGTTCTTTTATTAAGTGTTCCTCCGAGGCATGCATAAATTAATAATTAAACGTCTTTGAAGGGATAGCCAAAAGTACCAAATATTTTAAAGAAAAGTATAAAATAAATATCATTCATTTTTATACGCTCATTGAGCTCGATACGTTTCTTTATTCAGAGAGTTTGTAGAATAATGATATTCCATTTTACCTTTCGTGAGACGTTTCAAGCCAAACTTGTATTTTTCGAACAAATGAGAAGAATGTATTTATATTTTTGTATCACTGTTGTTAGAAAATTAAGCCTACATGGTCTAGTGGGCTAAGCTGTGGTTAAATATAAGCTTTTCTCTTTTTACTTCCTTTCATTCATTGTAATAAATTATGAAATACTTAGGCTGGGCAACCTTTGATACGTATTATACATACAGCGAGTAAATGTAAAGGTAGATAGAACCAAAATAAGCGGGTAGACCCGAAATAAGCAGATTATATAATGCACAGCGCATGCAGAAACGGCATTTTGAAGTAACACGCGGCTTTATTTAAGGATAGGTAAAGTATTGTGCTGGCATAAATTATCATTCCTCGTGCGTATTTCGAGCGGTGTGCATCGCTACAGGAACGCGCAACTCGCCAGCTTTCATTTTATCTATATTGCTGAACTTAAAATGGAGCAGGTATTAAAGGATGATTCCCGAGTACCTCCTTCGAGCAGTTTCTCCGTTTCCGTCCACAAGCCGATGGATAAAATGCACGATGGCGATCTCTACGTTCCTGTAGCGGTGCACTCGACTCAAAATTTGCACGCCGAATGGCGATTTACATCAGCATAACGCTTTTACCTATCACTTAGCAGCGCCCTGTACCACTTCAACCCGCATAACAGCAACCATATTCCATTACAAAATTTTATTTTGGTCCTCTCTGTTTTCCTTTATATTTTCCCAGATGTTTTTGAATTATACACATAATCTTGTTTGTCATTTATATGGTATAATTACTACATTTCAAGTGAGAGAAAAAGAAGGCACAAAAAATAATGATTGAATACTGGAACCTAGAATTTGAGTAAGAATAATAAAAGTAATAATAAGAACATTTATAATAATACCATGAGAGGCATGTCTAGAATAAAATCAGAATATACATTAAAGTCGAAATAAATTCTAAAGGTTTCATACATTTTTCTTAAATACTTCATCTATAAAAAATAAAAAACAGAATTATTATTAAAGGACAGTAACAAGAGTAGTTTTGGAGAATAATAAGCAATATGTTTTACGGTTTAAAATATTATACTCTGCTTTTAAAACTTATAAATGCATTTAAAAAACCTATTTTGTAAGATTTATAATATATTTAAATGAAATTTCTACGTATTTAAAGAGCATTTTGCAAATATTCTTTTCTAAGAAGAAAACAGAAAGTGATAAAATAGCAACTTCAGAAAAGAATAATTTAAAATGTAATATAATGTAATGAATTTATCGCTTTCAATACGCATGAAACAAATTTTTATGCATCAAAACAAGCATAGCAATTACTACATCATCACATAAGGCACCCAAAAAACAAAACCTCATTTACATAAATTTTAAGACATTTAAAACATTTTGTTTGTTTATTTTCTTAAGGTATTTTTATGCATATTTTATTGGCACAAAAGCTACTGCTGTTGAAAAATAAATTTGAAATTAACATTTCGCTATGTTAAAATGATATCAAAATGCTTCCTTATGTTCAGAGTAACAATAGTACAGATTTTGAATTAAAATTTCTTCTGTTTAATTTAGACGTTCAGATGTAAAGTGGATCAGATTATTATGTAAAGCGTTCATAATGCGTGACATCTGATTGCACTTTCACGAATACCTTATAATGGATGATTTGTCAAATCACAAAACTTTGAAAAATCAAATCTCAGGATGATTATTATTTTTGTCTAGTTAAAATAAGAATTTTTTCCTTTTGTTTGCTACGAATTCAGTACATATACAAGTATTAAATAGCAGAAAATAATAGCAGTGCTTCAACACGAAACGAGCTGTTAATATTTCTGTTACAAATATAAAGTGTGAATAATAAAAATGGTTCTGAATTTTATGATATGTGTCAGCATATGTTCCGTTACCAGTTTATCAGCTATAAAAATTCAACTTTTAAAAGCATTTTCTGGGTCACTCAGAAATAAAGTTCTTACTCAGTTTAAAGACAAAATGTTGGTAGAAAAACTAGCGAAATGTGCTTTCTTAAATTCCAAAATTATTTTAGCTGGAAAAAGCTATGTATTCAAGTAAAAGATAGATAATAATCATACTATCAGTTCATATCTCTAAAACAAAATTAAGTTCCTCTATATTAGTTAACACCATGCAGGGCACCCACACTATTCAAATCTGATTTAGATCTATTGCCAATTAAAAACATAGATGAAGTTTTAATTCTGCCACTTTATTTTTCTTTAAGATATACATTTGGAAGTCAGTCTTAATTAAAAATCAGTTATCCTTTTGGATGAGTTATCACTCTGGAAGTCAGTTTTAATTAAAAATCACTTATCACTTTGAATGAAGTATCACTCAGAAGTCAGTCTTAATTAAAATTTAACTATGACTTTGCGCCCCACTTTGTTATAACTTGTACATTATAATCTAAGCTTTCTTCCATAAAACGGATTTTCTTCACCGATCAATGTAAATTCTTAACTTGAAAGGTATAAATATTTTTTCTTATCTTAGTCTTATTGCTATTTTCTTCTGCAATAAAATTCTTTATTAAGCTCTTCGCCCATTAAAGCAATTTTAACTTTTCACCTATGAAATTTTATTTAGTACTTTCGAAAAAAAAATAATAATAACTGAGAACGGCTTAAGCTGAAGAAGATGAAATCTTTTTTCAGTGTTAACTTTGTCAAAATTACAAAGTCTCAAAAGAAATGGTCATGCCTGTGATGACTTTAATCAACATAAGTTTAAAAATTATACTATTCTTGAATTTAATAAATGACCATTTTATAACATGAATTAACAAGTAACCAAGTAACGTTTAATAATGCAAAACTCTTGTAAATAAAAGGAAGTAGCAAATTTAGAAAAATCATCCACTTACATCTGAAAACTTCTAATGCCATCATCAAAATTACGGATAAGAAATGAAAGAACAGAAATTTAGCAACAGTAAAGAATGCAATGGATAACATTTACAAGAAAAATATTATTAGTTTTCTAGTTTGACTAGAGCTAAATTTAGGAAGCTAAAATTACATGATGTATTTTTACAACATTTGACTTAATCCACTCTTGCAATGAATGTCTGAACTTTAGAAATCGGTTCTAGCACATAAATATATGTATTTATCCTCTTTTCAGAAGGAAATGCAAATTGCTTCCCCACGTTGTTACAACTCGTTGAATGACGATGATTTTTATTTGAATAATTCATCTCGGTTGTACAGATACAGTTTTCGAGGGCAAACGCCAATTTCCTTTTCCATTATTCTAAACAAAAGCCATTCTTTATTAACGTAAGAGACAATACTGCATGTACTTTGCAAAAGCTTAATAAAACTATCTCAAAAGCTGCAATAATCGTCAGAAATTTTACAGCTCAGAGTAAAAATTCTTGAAATACAGAGACGCAAATAGCAGCGGCCATTTTGGATCACAGGGTGTACCACAGCTTACAGGTCTCTTAATTCTTTAAGTTTTCAGTAAATTTTTAATGTAATGTTAGTGATACGTTCCCTAATTTTTGATTGCTCAAACTTCGTATAGGGAAGGAAATACCACGCGAAAAATTATACACAGACTTTCAGAATTTTCAGTTTTAAGTTGAAAAGAGACTAGGCAATTAGCTTCTAGCTCTAAAAATCTAGAACGCAGAAAATACTGGAAAACTGAGACTAATAATTTCTAGATTCAAGAAGAAAAAAAGGTTAATAAACTTTAGGTCAATTAAGTGAGGAAACTATACTACAGTTCAATGTATACTTACTTTAGTAGTTGTAAACAAGTCAAAACCGCTTTCACCCTGAAAATAAACGAAAACGTTGCGTGCCATTAGATAAATAACATGTCGTGTCTGAAACAACAATTAGTTTTATAATATTGTTTCGTGCTTACTGGTTCGTAATAGACTAAATGCACACTAAACCGATGATAGCTTGATAAAATTTATTTTTAACGAAAGGATTAGTTCACAGTTCTGGAACTTTCCACAAGTAGTTTTAAGAGTAGAGGAATTTCCATAAATTCTAACAATTCGATCCATTAGCCAACCAGCAAATTTAACTTCTCTTTCCCTTCTGAAACTGTCTTACTTTTGTTGTGTAATTGCATACCAGCATGCTGTCCCTTGTTTCCGTTATTCAACTGATTTCTCGCCTGGCTGTCAAATTTTAAGAAATTATACCATTTGGCTAATTAATAAAAGGAACTTTAATGCATTGGAAAATTCAGCTAAAAATTTGTCTCTTTATGTGAAATATGGAAAGAAAGAACTCCTATTAGCTTAAGGAAAGGTTTTAAAATGAATAGAAAAAGGAATCTACAAATTTCCAATTAGAAAAAAGGACATAATTCTATCTTTTTATTAATATGTTATTTACGAAAAAAACAGGAGTATTATATTATTTACTTACGTTATGATAATCGTATATCAGAAAAGGAAAAGAAAAAAATATGTGTACCTTGGACACAGTTAGCTGATCAACGTTTATGTTTACAGAGTGTTAAATGTTGCCATATTTTGGCAACACTTAACTGTAATGAATATAATGAATGGCATTAAAGAATGACAGAGTATATTCATTATATTCATTGTCTTCATTATATTCGCTGTATGTGGAAAGTAAACTGAAGAAAATATCCAGAGGACAATGACCTGTGAAAATGTTTACTTTTTAGTCCTAAAAATGTATACCTCTTCTGGTATGTTTATTCACAAAGTTTACGACAAAGTCACACGACTTATTAACACTCAAAAATACTCAGTATTTGAAAACATTGGAAAATATAAGAAATGTTAAATTTAATCATTCTTCGTTTTGAAGCTGTGGATGGCAACGATTTGTAAAGTAATTTAAAAAGGAATCTTAAGTTTTAAGATTTTTATTTCGAAAATCAAGTAAGATGTTATTTTTATGTATTTAAAAACGTGAATTTTAAAAATTCTAACAATGCAATCAATATTATGCTATAAGCTTTATTATTGTGATCTAAATTTATGATTTGCATTCTGCGAACTGTTATGTTAGCTTTAAGATATTATGAGATGAATGACCTTTAAGGCATGAGTTGCCTTTACTTCATTTATTGTTTACTTTAGTTATTATTGTTACTTTAGTTATTATTGTTACTTTAGTTTATTGTTTACTTTAGTTCTGTTTACTTTAGTTATTATTTATAATTACTTAATTTATTATTTCCAGCTTTAGTAGTGGCATCATCATGTTGGTTAATATGATTCAGAAGGGCAAAGAGAAAAAAAAAATTGTGTGCCGTGGAACTCAGCTGTCGTCATTTTAATTTAGAGAATTATTCGATTAGTTAGAAAACTGGTAACTCGTTAGTACGATATATTTAGTTGCTATAAAAGCACTGTAACTATAAACGCCCCGCTCTAGCGTCAAGATATTAACTTGACTAAAAATCTCGTGTTATAGGTACAAATGCTATTAATAAAATCACTGGAACGTTTTTTTTTTACTATGATTCCTTAATACAAAATTAGCTACGTAAAGTAAATAAAAGCAACATGTAGCACATTAGCTTTAAGATTTTTCTGTAAAGTAACTTGCTGTTAAGGCCATGAAAAGGTTTGTCTTTAAGAGTGCATTGAACCTTTTTGTCAAAATAGGCAAAATTTTACTTTTTTCCAAACTTAATTACATTTATAATTAGTTTCAGTAAAATGGGCAAATATTATGTCAGTATATTCTCTACCACAGGATAACATATCAGTTCCCTTATTTCCATATCGCTGTAACAGTGTTTTTGTAAAATAACTATGAAGAGAAGGAAGCAAAGCAGAAAATTAGAAGAATTTTCGGAACGTTTTTGTGAATATCTATCAGGTTGTCATAGAAGAGGCTAGGCTAACCCTGCTCTCCGAAGTGCACTTGATTTAATTAAAACGAACCACTCAGATTTGCTATGAATACCCCCTTCTTTAAAGACCCCCGGAAATATACTCAATCGTTCCAGGAGATCTGTTTCTGACGTGGCGTGTGTGGGAATGCTCTTCAATAATTTTGAACCCCTCAGACCTCCTTTTTCAAAATAAATTCTCGTCTTAATATCATCAAAAAAGAAAATATTGTATTGAATTTTAATATGCAGTGTTTAATGAAAGATCATTTCGTTCATTAATGAGGAAATAAACATAAAACGATAGATATAAAAAAATCAAAATAAACTTAATCATCTTTATAATTTTCGTGACTTCCATTAATCGATCACTTAAATATGTACCAAAATACTAACACTTATTTGACACCGAACCGTTATCAGATTTTCTTCAGACTCCTGTAAAGATATAAGTCATAAAGGTTTAAAATGCATATTTCATATTTTGTTATCTGAGTTGTTTAAATATTATTATTTAGGGCTGATATATTAAACTTGCTTCACAACAGCGAAGAAGGGCCGACATTTGTTGTCATTAATAGACATTTCTAGTAATGTGGTTTGTACAATTTTTTGTCCACACAATGGGGACTCAAATTCTGGAGACTTGACGACTTGTGGACTGAATGAACCCATCACATACCTATGTGCTAATTTCGAAATGATCGATCACCGGAATTTGCGCTATTAAATAACAATCATCCTGGTTAGGTTTCATCTTTATATATTATTGGGATTAGTATAAACAATACGAAGATTGAAGATAGTTTCTAATAAAAAAATTGCGCTGAAGTATTTTAAAACTGAAGAAGTAGATGAGGACTTCTCAAACATCCTTCTATATTATAGCGTCGCATAGTTAAACCAATATGCAGATAACAAACATATCGAATCAATATGGGGCGTGCCCTTACTTTACAGCTAAAAGATTGCATATTTTGAAAGGGAGAAGACAAGACACAGAAGAGAGAGCTTTTGAATACTAGAAATTAAATTGAAACGTTTCAAGAATTTTTTCAGACAGTGTTATTATCGCATTATACCATTGATGGTAACATAAGAACACGCGGAAGAAATATGTCTAAGCTTAATAATATGCTGTAGGAATCGATGCAATATGAAATGGATGGGAACAGCTTTGCAGAACTGTAGATTCAGAGATAATATGTAATCTCCTTTCTCAGCTGCTGTAAAAACACGAAAAAAAAACATGCGCTGGTGAGAACAACAAAGAAACGCTCGAGAATATTTGATCTAAATATTGAAAACGAAGCCCTAAGCCACCACTTAAAAGTAATCGAAAAGCAACAAAGAAACAAATCTTAAAAGGCTGTTGGGAAGGAAATGAATATGCAGAAAAAAATAAATACAAACGTTTTATTGTTCATAACTTCTTGTTAACAAAGTTATATTTTCCTTTTTAGTGAAAATTATTCATTAGCATTTACATTACTGACTGTTAAAGATCTAAGATAGAAAATTTGCTACTATAGGGGTAAATATATCGCCAGTGTTATTTAAGTATAAAAATAAAAACAGAAACGGCAGATATCATTTTTATAAATGATTTCTGTTTCTGTATTCAGCGATTTTTAAGACAGAAAAGGAGAAAGCACTAATTTAAAAGAAAGACTTTGAGGGTTACTTTTATAGAGAATCATTAGCTGATATAAACTTTAAGGTTATATATATATATATATAGGGCGAGGGGATATTTGTGTGCGCATACGCGTGTACATGTATCGTTTAATTACTTTAAGTATCATCAACCATTTGAAAGAACTGAGTTTATCCTGAAGTGTGAATGTGTACATGTTACGAACGTGATTTTAAAAAGTCGCATTGTATTTCAGAATTATTCTGAAACTAATGATACTGTTGAATAAGGTTTTATATAAATATTATGAAATACCTACATACTGTTCATTTTAAAATTTCTCAAATAAACAATAATCTTTGTAAAGGCAAAATTTAATGTAAAGGTATTAAGATGTAATCTTTTAAACATGTAGTCTGTAATACTTAAAATCAAAACAATCATTAAAATTCCACACTTTTTAATTGACAAATATTAATTACTTCACTGAAAACTCATTCTTATTATTCACGATCTAACTCTATTATTAAAGTTTTCTTAACCAATGCATAGATCACGCCAGAAAGATAAAGGTATAAAACAATTGCATAGAAAATTTAAAAACAAAGATGTCTAAACCGATCAAAAAATGATTGTTAAAATATTTTATAAAATATTCAGTCCACTTACCTTGTCTCCTTTGTCACCTTTTTCACCCTAAACAAAAATAGAAATTGTTTATAAGTATATAAATAATATTTTACTCAAAATGACATCTCGACTGATTTAAAAATATGCATTTATGTACTATTATATCAAATCTTTCGTGTTTTAATTCAATAAGAATTTACATTGAATGTTAACAAGGATTTAAGAATGTTAATAGCGATTTAAGACATTAATTAGGAAAAGACTAATAAGAAAATTTTAAGAAGTGAAAAAAATTTATTCGTTGAGAGTTTACGAATTATCAATCTAACTTCCATATTAATTAATCACAAAGTACGATTTTCAAGGCTAAGAAAAGCGGAAATATTCTTCCATCTTCTATAACATTTTAAAAATAAACTATTATAAACACTTCACGATATAATGGAAGGAATAATGTTTTTTCCTCTTTCTCCAAAGAATCACAATTCATAACGAATATAAATTAAAGTAAGCAAACACCCCAATATTTATTCTATAATCTTTCTGAGGACTAGTATTACTATTTCTACTAACACTAAAACTACTACTATTTCAGGGTAATATTTTTAATATTATTATTTAATATTTTTTAATATTAGGAAAAGGAATAAAATTTATTATTTAATATTTTTGAATATTCCCCACAAAAAGATGACAGTAAATTAAAAAATGCAATAGCGTATATGCATTTGACAATGCAATTAAATTAATCGATTTGTTATTTAGATGCACCAGGCTTCTGTTATTCGCGATATAAAACTGTAGACGAATTCTGTAAATAGAATTATATAATATATTACTCACATTTAACTATATAAATTATTTTTTCTCCTTTTAGTGCATTAACTATCATATATATTTAAAAAAAATGCTTATTGCATAAAAACTTTTTTTTAAGATGTATTTTACTTTCTGTTTTTTAATATCAATTACATGTTATCAATGATGAAATTTTTAGTTATTATTAAAGACCAATAAATTCTAAGACAATTTTGATATAAAGAAAAGTAATTGAACATGATTCAGAGAATGAAAACAATTGCTTAGAACATTCTATTTTGGAAACTGGATGTAATAACAATGTTGCAATGAGCATTTTACTTGACACGAAAATTAAAAAAAAAATCGAATATCGCCAATTCATCATTATAAATATGTCAAGAACTTCGTTATTAAGTGCGTTAAGATGTCCTCAGCAATTTTCACATGGGAAATACTTTTTTCTTTCGTCTGCTTCAGATTGCAACACATTTTTTTAAGAATATGTAGAAAATTGCTCAATTAATATGTTTTATCATTTTCGTTTTAGAAGTAGGCGGAAAGCTAGTTATACAGTCTGAGCACCGCCTGAGATAACCACTGACCTGACTTTGTTGTAAAAGTCTTACTGTGTTAATAGTCATCCTGGCAGAAGAGAATATTTCCTCCGTGTAAAAATATAAATATAAATATTACATGGGCGTACAAGGCCTGTGTATAAGCATAGATATGTTGACTACAAACATTGTCTTGTACAAGTTACATATGATAATTACATAAAATCATGACAGCTTATGTCTACATTTAAACATTATCTGAATTCATATTTATAAATACTTCTTACTGAGATAATCAAAGTAAACTTGTAATTCAATTTACACACTTGACTGGATTTTCAATATCATTTAAACTGCTTTACAGTATTATTTTTATCATGTACATACAAACTGGATAGTAATATGCTCACATCACAATAGTTTTGCTCTTACAGTCCTGTTACTATTGTACAGAATAAGCTATTTTTCTAGTGTTGATTTTCAGATGTTGTAGTATTTTGAATTGCTATTAAAATTATGCTGCGAAGATACAATTCTCAAGGGAGGGGAGAATTTCTTAGTACCTTGCTGAGCATAGCCTGATTACCTCCTCTATTTTAGTTTTCGTTTGCTTGTTGCCGCAGGTATTGTCCGCCCATTGCGGCCAGTATTCACTGCTTGGCATTTTTAAATGTAGTTTATCGGTTTGTGGGAAGTTGAAAAGGAAGTGATCTGCATCACCTACCGCACCACATTCACACAATTCTCATGCTCGTTTACCGAATCTCTTAAGATAATGTGGGAAGGGACCATGGCCAGTGTAGAACTGAGTTTGTGCTCCGCTGTATGTATTAATTGAGTATGTAACTTTCCGAAAGAACTTGTAGGTTCTCCTCCCTGTGCTTTCCTTTCCCATCTTTTCTGCCATTCTTGTAAAAGGCTTGAGCGTGATTTTTTTTAAATAGGACTGCGGAACACTTACTGCGTTTTCGAATCTACTGGAGTCATTGGCTGCAGATTTCGCAAGCACGTCCGCCGCTTCGTTGCCAGCAATACCCACATAAGCTGGAACCCAGATCAGGATAGGTCTGTCATCTGGTGGGATACTTAGCAGAATTTTTTGAATATCTTGCACCAAAGGACTCCTTGTCTTGTGCCCTCGGATGGACTCCAAACTTGAGGCAGAGTCGCTATATATGTTGACCTTTATTCCTAATTGATATTTTGAAAATTGATGGCTGCTTTTAATGCAAGAAGCTCTGCCCGAAAGACGGTATTTTTGTTTGCCAGTCGTCTTTCCCAAGTTTCTAACCACTTCTCCTTCTTGGAGTACACAGTAGTCGCAGCTTGTGCCTTTTTCCGTCTTTGAGCTATCTGTATAAATAGCTAATGCCTTCTCATTTGGCGGGATGTATTGCATGTGTATTTGTGTGCGATAAATCTGTATCTACAGGGTGTCCAAGCATGATCGGCTTGCGCTTCTCATTGTCTGTGTGGTAGAATGTCTTTTGCCACAGAGAGTCGTTATTTTCCAGGCGCAATGTCCTTACTAATAGTGATTCTCTCCTCCACTAGAAGGTCCAGTGGAGGGATACCCGCCAGCACTTGCAGTGCCGCAGTTGGGGATGTTCTATAACCTTTGCATATGATCAAATGTTGCATTCTTTGTATGGTGAGAAGCTACCTCCTCATATAGGCAGTAAGTTTCCTTCCCCATATGGCAGCCCCATATAATATGATCTTTTCTGAGATTGTTCTGTACCAGCTTTTGAGCATAGTGATTGGAGTGCCCCAATGAGGTCCTGATGTTCTAACCATGAAATTACTAAGCTGATTTATTTTCTGCTTAAGCTCTTTAATATAAGGTACCCAGGAAAGCCTATTGTTAATTATAATACCTAGATATTTAAGGTCAGTGACCTCTTTTATAGAGACTCCATAGTCTGAGAAAATTTCAAGACTTGATTCAAGATCTAAAAATGTATCGAATTATTCGATACATTTTTAGATCTTGAATTTTTTTTCCATTGGCGGGCATTTAGCCGACATAAGCTCAGTTACTACTAAGAAATGGTGGCCACTTTGTTCTGGAAGCCCCTAATAGGTGGGCCACTGTTACCTTCTTATGAAAGGACAGAGCCATGCCTTCTCCGGGATCCGGGTCCTTCGGTACCGCACTAAGCTCCTCTAACCACCATACCACCTGTGTTGAAAATTTTAAATAGTCTAAAAAATTAAGCGATTTAAAAGAATTCTATCAAAATTCAAAAATTAAATTACAGTTTTCATAAACAATTTATTGAACAGATTTTTTTCCCGCTCTGCTCGATGGTGTAAATAGTAAAAATTCTGTTAAATTAGCTTTTTCGTTAAACGAAGATATGTGTGAAAAATCGTTTAAATATTAAATTACAAAAATTCTAAATCGAATTTCTAGTAAATTAATTCACCATACTGCACTGTAATTGACAAACAGTGTGTGCACAAAATTTCAACTCGAAAGCTTATTAGGAAGTAGGTTAAAATCGAAGACGAAATTCCATTCACAGTGAAATACCACGAATGAATTAAATAGTTGAGTTTAAACTCTCTATAAAAATGAAAAGAGAATAAGCAGCAAAGGAATGCTTTTAAAACGCTAATGTGCTTTAAATACACCAAAGAAATCCATCCTATTCTTTCTTTTTCTGCAAACCTTAATTTGCACCTACTATAATTACCGAAAAGACAGCGAACATAAAATCAAAAAAAGCTTGACAAAAACAAAAACTAAAAAAACTAAGTGGTTAGAAAAATAAAAGCAACTTCATTTTATTTTGAAAGAAAGAAGAAAATAGTTTTTTAGATTACTAAAATATTGAAATTTATTGAAATTCATCTTGGAATTTTATTTCACTCATGGCATCCCTTTTTATGACATTAATTTTCAGTAAGTGGAACACAAAAATATATTTACATAAATGTAAAAAAAAAAAAAAAAAAAATCTTCTAAATAAAAGCATATTTGAAAATAATAGTATGATTACAGTGTTAGTTTCCGAATATGTAATGCTATTAGTATAATGTTAGTTCCTGAAGAGTTTCCGCTTTATAAAGTATTAAAAGGTAGTAAAGAACACATTTTCAAATTATATATTGTAGTTTATTTATGAGACACGTTTTTTAAATACTATATCAAATATTCATGAAAATTAACAATTAGAAATTATATATCTATTATATAGGGTATTATTTCGTCGCAAATAGCTGAAAAAAAAGCTTCATATATGCTTTTTTATTTTGTTTTCAAGTCGTTTTGAACTGAACATATGTGATAAATTTTAATGTACTATGACAGCACTTGCATCCAAAGACGCAGTATAATTTTTCTTTACGTAAAAGATTTTATTTCCTTTTCCCCCTTTTTTTAAGATAGCAGCGATATATCTGTTGAGAGAGTTTTCGATTACGTTTTAGAATTTAAAGTATACAGAAGAATGATGCCTTTTTTGATCACAGGAATTTGAGTCTTTCCTCAGAATTTTATTTATTGTTAAAAATTTTATTTATTTTTAAGTTCTTATTGGAATTTATTTTGATTTCAGCAGATTTAATAAAAGAAAAGTACGTTTTGAATTTTCTGGCGTTGCATGTCAGGGCAATTACTTGCAAGTAAAACTAAACTTGGCTTTTATTTCTTTGTTTATAACGGATTTGTTAAAAGCTAAACGTATTCAGTTTAGAATATTATTG